CTCATTGAGGAGATGATGAAAGCGTGGCTGAGGGAGGTGTATGTAAGGAGACCAGGGGGTTTTTTCCATATTCTGCCGGCAGATTTCAGCATTTTAAGTTAATTTATGCGTCAATAAACTGTTTCAGAGGAGTGATCACAGCGCTCTGTGTCATCAGCGATGTGTCTGTCTCACGGCCAGCTCCCAGGTTTGATTAATACTTTGTAATGAATACATGAATAAAGCACAAACATACTCAGTTTTGCTCCCGTTCTATTTTTAAATACACAGTAGAGGTATTTAAACGTAGTAGAGGATATGTACCTGTATATAAAACCCGCACCCTGTAATACGGTGTGCCTTATGTGTGTGTTAAATACAGTAATGGCACACATAACTGAGACTGCGCCTTTTAGTATGGTTCGCCTTATGGTCGTGAAAATATGGTAGTTTTGAAATGATTAAAAAAGGATGTAATGTCAATTAATTCTTCAATAGAATTCCCTTCTGAAGGTGTACATGTTTAGTTGCTGACAGTAAACATAGTGTTACAATATTTAAAAGCCAAGCTGTAGAATGAGCTCTTGTTTGTCTAAAAAAAACAACATTAGCTTCTCAAAACAGAAAGGACTTTTAAAGGAAAGCAGCATCTCCTACATTCTCTTTTTTTCTTTCTTAGTATATCTGTTACGGCTAAACTGTAACTCTGGAACTGGTGAAGAATCACATAAAAAAAAAAAAAAAAAAGCAGCTGAATAAACATTAATTAAAGCAATAAAGGCATTCTGTAACAATTCATTTTCTTCCATGGCTAGTTTTGGATACGACTAATACATTAGAAGAGACAGAGATTAATATTTTGTAGGACCCTTTAGGGTGGGATACATGTATTTGGAAAACAAACATCAGGCACTTATTGGGCTGCTTAGGCCAGAACACTTCTGATTTATCTGTGTAAAATTTCGTTCCTGACCCGCCGAAGCGTTGAGGAAGTGGGGGAGAGTTTGTCCGACAACGGAGGGACATGAGGGCGAAAAAGAGCAGGGATCCAGGTGGAAAATGGGTCCCACTCTTCTAGCTGGTCCATCTCCATGGGTTGTTTTCCGCTATTGCGGTCATACAAACAAAACAAGCCGGCAAGCGGATGTAGATTTCACCAATCAGAGGCCTCCTGTCTGCGGTCACCTACAATTTGGGAGAGGTGCAGCAGAGTGTCCGCTAGGGGGTGGGGACGTCTTTTTGTTCACTGCGACACCTACACATACGACCTAGTTTCGAAGTATAAATCAGCCTTGACTCTCCAGTTGCAAGACAAACTCCTGCATCCTACACTGTAGCCCTATTTATTTATGATATACTACACCCTGTGATCAACAGACCTTCCATGAAACAGGAAAGTACAACAACATATGACCTAACAAGCGTGTAGAGAATGACAAAAACATGAAAGAAATGTTATCCCCTAATTTTGTTATTTGAATAAATAACAAAAAAATATGTAAAATTTATTTCCTAACCCCAAAGTGCAAGTCTATATTTCTACCTTCTTAATCCCCTCTTCTGGAAGCTGGAGGACTGTCACTATGGCCACAGCTTCTCTTATCTGAGAAATCTACTTGTACTCTGACAAAATTCAGATGACTAGTCAATAGTGGTTGTGAAAGAGGGTCTGGAGTTCGAAAGAGGAAACACATTTTACATTGTGGAAACCATGTCAATAAAACCCACACAAACATATGTGTGAGTGCATTTTTCTTTTTGCAGAGCAGTCAGGCACACACAGAACCTGCAACAGAGTTTCAACTATGAGTCCCCATCGCGCCCAAATTGTCAGTGCTATTTTGCTGCTGATTCTGGCAATTATTGGGATTTGCTTGTTGATCCTTCCAGTAAAAGAGGTGAAGATGCCTGCTGAGAACATGGTAGGTTTGGTTTGCATATCGTTTAGTAGCCCATTGTTTGAGGGTGCAACCCTGCATTCTTGTGTTATTAGCAAAAAAAAAAAAAAAAATATATATATATATATATATATATATATATATATATATATATATATATATATATATATATATAGTTCAAATATATATGCACTATAGGTAGATGTCATTAACTTGGATTAGAATTTCAAGCAGAGTTATTAATCAGCAACCAAAACGAAAATATTGTCTCTGTCTATTCAGGTTGTTAAATCAAAGGGAAGTTTATTTAGCTCTTAGAATCGGTCACAGCTCTACCATAAACAGAGACTACCTCAAATAAAATAGGGTGCACTTCTATTAAAACCTAATAATCTCTATCATGGTAATATTACATTTTGCCAATATGCCATTCTGCTATGACGTGTTCAGGGTTTATGTGCAGAGTTAGCTTTGCACGACATGTGGCTGGTTAACATTTTGCCTCATTTGTTCAGAACACCTTTTTTTCACAAGTTTGCTGCAAATATAGCCATCAGCACACAGGATTTCCTGTGGCATTCTTAGATCGCACTTTTTTGTGCAAGCTTTTGCAAAAGGGTTGATAACAGGAGAGCAAAATGTATAACTGTCCTAGCAACATATTTTCAACCAGACCTGAATATTTCTACAGCTCTACACAGTTACTATGGGTGTCAAAGCTACGTCTTCTACCCTGCCAGTCAGCTTAGATGGCAGCCATGTCTTGGCACATATGAAGTTGTACTATGTGTTTAAGTTCAATTCTTGGATTAAACAGAGCTCTGTGAGAAATTAAAAACTTGTGAGATATTGCAACATAAACTAATGGAGCTTAACACTCTGCTTCTTTCTTCTTGACCTTTATGCTTTGTAACAAGAACTTCATGATACTGTTAGTTCTCTAATGTTCTTAACAAAGCCCATCAAAGAACAGCGGTATTTATACTAAGAATTAATTAGACTTAGAGCGAGTCTATTTTTTTTTAGCTAAGTGATAAAGAAAATGGTTGCCATGGAGTTTCAATAAATATTGCTTTAACTGTAATGGAGGGTAAATACAATGTGTTCCACACTTTTCAGATTGAACTGCTTTGCTCTTTACTTGATCTATTTCTCCTAAATCTAGAACAGTCTTGTTCATGACTGACATGTAGGATTTAGGGCAGTACTTAAAATATGTTAAGCAAGGAAGTAGAGAAAATTTCAAAGAGGTGTAAAGACAGATCTAAGCATAGCAGAGAACATTTGTAATTATATATGTTTGTCTTTTCTGCTCATCTCAAAAACAACTTCAAATATTTTCAAGGGGAAAATTATGATAACATGTCATTTAAAAACAACAAGCAATGACATGTTAACATTAGAGAATGATCACCACAAACAGGCTTAAATAGGCTTAAAGACTTTTGCTCAGTTTTTTTGCTTTTGCTTCAAGCAAACTGAGCGAAAGTCGTTGCCTTCCGATTTGTAGCCTGCTGATCGTTTCCATGATCCAGATTACTCAGAATTTACACAGGCATTACAGAATGATTTGAGTAAAGTCAATGGGTTTCAAGCAGCATATTTTTGTGGGAAATTTCTCATACTCTTTCTCCTGCCATGGGATCTTATGAATGCACCATATCAGATTCAGCAGATGCTTTTAACATTAGGAAATAATCCTCGTTAACCTTATGCACAGCGTCCCGTGTCAGAAGGCTCTAAACGTAGGACCCAGAATTCAGACAAGACAGACAGTGATTGCTTAAAAAGGGTTTACTGAAAATGCTGCGTGTGGCATCTGATCAGCTGAGGCCGACTTACTGGAAACACTCACTCAGGTCTGTGACTTCAGAACTCAAATGGGGAATGACTACGAGCATGAACGTCACCAACCTTACAAAGTTCAGTCTGAGCCCAGAAGAAGGAGTGAAGTCCAGAGGAGCGGAACTCCGCATCTTAAAACGTGTGGATCTGATAAGAGGTGATGAGTGCGGGGCAGAGCAAAGCAGAGGAGAGGAAACGGAGTAAAACCCAGCCTATGGTGCCAAGATCATGACATCCCCACATGTCGTGAATACTCTAGTCAAGTGTGAAAAACTAAGAAGTTTCACAACATAAATATCTTGGTTCCGCAGCAGAGCATTTTCTGCAGCAGTTTTTATTAGATAATTTGGTTTAACTGTTCTTAGGTATGAGTCACAGTGTGTGCATGGTTGTTTGTCCTAAGTATTAATGTGTTGTTCAGCAAAGGGCAAGCAACCCTTATGGTGTACCCCACCTCTCTCCCTCCTGGCCTCTGAAGTTGGCCACCATTGGCCATTCCACTGCAAGGGCAAGCAAGTATAGATAACAGAGAGGTCCATAAACTGCATGTATACAATTTTTAGAGACAAATGGTCAATGAGAGAAGAAAACACATTAAACCCTCTAAAAGTGTTTTGATAAGTCTTCAAATCAAAAATGACAAATAAATGGGTCAATGAAATAAAAAATATGCAAAAAGACACAAACTCAAAAAGCTGACCTCGCACATTTCTTTTTATTTTTAACAGTGTCCTGTCTGGCGATGTGGCAATAAGAATAATTGTCTTGATGTCAAAAAGAGAGCCTAACAGATTTTTCTTTTGCTATAGTATTTCTCTTGATTTGTGCATATAAATAGCTTTGTTGTCATGATTTTACTAAAGTTCAGACCCAAATGCAGAAGACCAAACAGGGAGACCAGGGGAAAGGTTTACCAGGTTTTATCGAAGAGATAATGCAGAGAGAAGTGTTGCTCTGAACACTGCTCAACCGGAACTGAAAAGTGAGGGGAAGGCACAGCAATTAGCTCAGGCTCAGTGGGAACATAGATTTGTGAACTTGGAGAAGAGGATTTGGTTGCTGACTCACGTTTCCAGAGAAGTTGTTGAATCTTTGACTCTAGTCTGTATGCTGTAGTTCCAGTGTTTGTCTGATTCGGTGGAGGCCGGAACAGGGTTTACCCAGAAAACGGTTGTTTGTAGGTGAATGGAAGAAAATGCCACTCAGATTTCCTGCGGTACTTGAACGGGTCGTAATGGAGATGAATCCCTTTCTCAGTGGAAAGCTCAAACAATCTCTTGGGGAAAGTGGATCCAAACCTTCTGTTTGAACCCCAGCTCAGTTTGAAGCTCAGTTGATCCTTTCAGGGAGAGAAGGGCCGAAAAATCCAGTTTGCAGGATGACTTCCTCCCGAGAGGCAAAAGACAAACAATGTTAAAACTCAGGTTGACAAGAACTCAGTTTGACTCAGCAAAACTCAACTTGGCTAGAGTACCCAAAACTGGCAAACACTCTGGCCTCGAGGTAGTGGCAGTCAACAGCTTAGGAACACTCCTTTAACGAGGAAACCATCAGCAGGTGTGTGAGGAGGTGGACCAGTACCAGGTGGAGTAAGGGAGATAAACACAGAACACAAACACACAGACAGGAGTCCTGACATTTATTATAAACCTCAAACATTTAGAGGAAGAGAAACGAAAGAGATACCCCTCCCACACACACACACACACACACACACACTGCAAAGGGATGAACTATGCTTAAACAAACTCAAACTATTAATATTACACCACATTCATTTCCCAGAGGTGTGTAGTAGCTATGTTTACATTTAATCAGTTACCTATATTTGAGTAAATCTTGAAAAAAGAGTTGTAGTTTACTAGATCATAATTTTTACTTCTAGCTGCTTTTCTTCAGCCAAGTCTCTGATTCAACAAATATTGCACAAATTAACTTAATGAAAAACAAGCGTTTCTCAACAGAATCCATTAGATAGGGACACACATGATTCATTCCTTTCTTGTAGACAAGCTATTGTCTTACTGATGTTTTACTTTCTTGTCTACTTAAATAAACAGTAGACATTAGATTTTGTTACAGGAAATACTTTGTTCTACTTTGTAAAAAGTACATTCTATATCTAGTATGTTTGTTTTAAAATTACATTTTTTTAATTATTCGTTAGAATACATGACGCAAATAACTTCAAATTTTTTACTTCATAATTTTGTTACAATAAAAAAAACTAAAAAATCCTTCTTCACAAACTACTTTGGTGGCAATTATGTTTCTGGATAAATTTCAATTTTATTTCTGCAGAAGTTAAATAAATGTATTGCAGTAATGCAACTCTTACTTCAGCACATGTTTTTACTGTACCCACCTCAGCCAGTACATTAACCTTAAGAACATGTGAATGGGAAAAAAAAGACTAATTTTAGGTGTTGAAAATAAACAGAAAATGTTACCCATCTCTATTGGGTTTTTGCTGTGCTAGTAGTCTTCTGTTTGTTTGTTTGTTTTTCAGTTAGCAGTGTAAGATTTAATCCATTTTCTCTAGCAGCTTTATACTAAAGATTTGGCATGGCAAGCAACCACATGGTTGTATAGAGCATAATTTAGGCACAAGGGAATTAATAGAAATAAAACAATGGTTTTTGTAAAAGCACTTTAAAACACAACTACATTTAATAATAATAATAATAATAATAATAATACATTTTATTTGTAATGCACTTTATATATTTTTTTAAACTCTCAAAGTGCTACAGGTAAAATCATCATAGAAGGGTAAAATCAAAATTTAAAACTAAACATCGCTTTAAAACACTTATGAATAAAATCAATAAAATCAATTTAAAACTATTTTTTAAATGTAAATCATAAAAAATATAGAAAAATACACTTTGATGAATTGAAAACCTTAGCCTTAAACTGAAATGCACCTATGCACCTCATCCTTAATGTTTCTGACTTTTTTTTTTGTATGTCTGTCTTTAGTATGGAATTGTACTTGATGCAGGGTCCTCCCACACCTCCTTGTACATCTACACTTGGCCAGCTGAGAAGCAAAATGGAACTGGTATTGTTACCCAGCACAGTGAATGTAATGTGGAAGGTGAGTATTTCTTAATGAAACCAATAACTACACTTTCTCACATCCTTACTGACTGCAAAATAACTCTCTCTGCTGGTTAGCAGTAATTAAGAATTTTGAGCTTTCTTCAAGATTGCATTGAAGGTGCCTGTAGCAGTTCTCTGCTCTTCATGTTTGGTTTTCTATTCTTTAATGGGTTTTCAGCTTTCCAAGTCAGAAGGGCTAAAATGAACTGTTGATTTAGCTAACCAAGTTATGTCAAGTGGTTCCGTAAACACACTTGATTAAACATAAAGGATATTGTATATTTAGTTTTATCTAAAGTAATTAGGGATAAAAATAAAATAAAATAAACAGTTTAGAAAATAAATAGCATTAGAATACGTTTTTGACTTAATGCTGTGACGTTAATTCATTCAATTTTTTTACACTAATTATAATTAGGTTTATTCAATATCATTGAGTTTCACTAAAGTTATTGGATTTCATTGCCTAAACGTAGTTTTTTTTTCAGTCGGTTTGGTGCCTTTTTACAGCATTAAAATTTGCAGAATAATGCATCTTTTACAACATTTAGTCATTTGTGCACATCATTGTTCCAGTTTCTCAATCCTTACAAAAAATTGAAACTGCTTGTTGACATGGATCAATTGCTTTCATATAACTGTGTTGTTTTATAGCATTATCATTGGCTTATGTCATGTTGGGCATCATTTACTATACTACTGAATGCTAAATACTCAATCAATATAAAATTAGTGGTCCTTGTTAAATGGCTTGAGTCAGTGTTTGTGAGCAGCTGCCAACATGTATGCAGCGTGTTGAGGTTACTCCTACCTCCTGCTCTTACTTTATCCGTTATATTTTTTTCATGACTTTTTTCTACATACATTTCTTTTGCACTCTTCAAGATGCTTGTTTTCAATAATGTTGATTAAGAGACTCTTCATCTTTTCCTTTGCTTTCAAAGTACTTTTTTTTAACTGTTTTTAAACTGTAGGGCAGAACAACTTGGTTACAGCAGGGATCAACTGATTGCCATCCTCACAGTGGCCTGTTGTGTAATTCACTAGTAAAATATCAACAACCTATTGATAATATAAATTAAAATGAAAAAAATATATGTATAAGTATCCTTACTCAATCCAAAAAGCAGAAGGTACATACATACTTTGTCCAGACCTTTCGTTGTTGGCTTTCTAAGTCATCTTTAGGCAACAAGCAGTCAGAGATAGGCTAAATGCAAAGGACAGATTGTGTTGTACTGTGCAATCACAATGACAAATCAAAGGGATTACTGTTGTGGCTATTGTCCGTTTTATTTTGTATAGAAGGCCATTAGTACCAAACCACAACCTGTAAAAGACTTTAATGAAAAATGACCAAATTTGTTAACATTAGGTTCTAGTAACTAACTAGGCACTAAGAGAGTGCAGGTGAGTTAGTTAATATGCACCTCCGAGACATAAGGGGGGATTCATGATGTATTTAGTGTTGCCTAGAATGAGAAGTAGTTAAGTATAAGTGTTGTCAAGATTGAACGTTGAAAACTAAGTGTACTGATATGGCATGGTTGGGCTTCCGTAGCCGGGAGCAGGCTAACGCATATACGCTGTACGTCTTGTTATTGTTAAGTGCACATTGGACAATAAAGCTGAGTTCGACAAACTGCAAAAGTGGTCCTCGGGAAGTTTCTTTATAAATGACACTGAGTTTTAAAAATTGGACAAATTTTATATTAAAACATATCCTTTATAGTCAGTGATGAAAGGTCTTAAAGAGGATTCATTCTTCTGGCTCCACACTGACCCTCTATGTCTTAGAAAATGGTCTTTTGTTTGGGAAAAAGTGAAATGTTCATTCACGGCTTAAAGGAAGTCGTTTCTTACAGAGAAATACTTGAAGTATCTTAATTCTGAAAAATATGCGATTTAGTAGAAAGCAAGCCTGATGGGCAAATGGAACCTGTATTTGCATTAATGCAAATATCAAACTGACAGAAGAGCAAGAGCTCATGGCTGTAACCTCTAATTCTCAATATGATTCCCAGAGTTTGTAAAACCAGAAATTCTTTGAGGAACCAAAAAGTTACAGAGCACCCCAGGACTTTAAACATCTGAAAACACTTTTAATTAAAAAATATTAACCAATAAACACATCTACTGAAAATCGACTTGGACTCAAGATTCCCTTTGAGTTAATTCTACATATTTTTTTTTTTTTTTTTTTTTTTTTTTTTTTTTGATATTTCGTTTTCTATTCTTGAAACAAAAAATATATCCTATCTATGAAGAGTTCAATATTCTGTGCTTATCTTATGAGGTTGTTTTTTAATAATAAATCAGTGAGTTCTTTTTATATCTGTGTTACCTATCTACATTTTCAGCTAATGTCTCAATAAATTTATCATGGTATCATAAATAAGTTGTTGACTTGTTAGAAAAAAAATGTCCTTTGTCACTGTGTTTAGTTTCTAAAGAACATGACAGTGCTATAATCTTGAAGCCTTATTTAGGATCTTAATCATGTGATCATGTGCTCAGTGGTAGGTGTTGCTTGTGACCAAGTTTTTAAGTTGGAAAATAGTGCCTAATGGCCTGATGTTCTGAAGGTCTCACTTCTTAAAACAGCTGCCTACACATTTTGCATCTTTACAACAGGTGCAAAGCATGTTGGCACCTGTTTTAAGATGTTTAGAAATGTGTTTATGAATGTAAAATGATTTAACATCTAAATCAGTCATCCCCAGTGTTTTTTCAGGATTAAGCTCCAGGTGGTCCTGATTGCCCCAGTGGATGAGCTGATTGACTTCTTCTTAATATATCTATATATATAAATGCAAAAAGAAGTTGTTTTTTTTCTCTCCAGAAATTCACATTTAACCCTGAATGTCCAGATGGAAGTGAAAGTGACTGTCTATATTAGAAAGGTCACTTTCACTTCCATTCTGTCATCAGATTAAAATCATCAACTCTCTTCATTTCATTACAGTAATGCAAGTTCTTGTGAAAGAGTTGACTTCATTGTGAAATAGGTGACTTCCTCACAATTTGCCCCTGCTGGGGGCACATTGGTAACTTAAATTTGTTCCCTTTTAATTTGGTTTATTTTTGAAGTCCCTTGGAAACCACATCTTGGAAAAAGGAAGTGTAATTCTATGAAGTTCATACGAAGTCTCTTTCTTAGTACAGCTGCCATACTCTTTTTGTCCAGGTGGTGGGATATCTAGTTATGCTGGAAAACCTGGTGGTGCTGCCAAGAGTTTGCAGGAATGTATGAAGCACGCACTAAAGGAGATTCCGCAATCTAGACATCACCAGACTCCACTTTGCTTGGGTGCTACAGCAGGGATGAGGCTACTTAGGTTACTATAAAGTTTCTTAAATACAAGACATAATTTTCTACCTGCTTTTTCAGTCACTCCATTTGTGATAGTATGCATCAAAATATCTTGACAGTTTTCTTTTTCTTTCATTACACTTCTCATTTTTACAGCATAATCAATCATACAGAGTCTGGACGTGTCCTGCAAGAAGTACAGAATGAACTGCAGTCTTACCCTTTCCTGTATAAGGAAGCCAGAATCCTGACTGGGCAGGCCGAGGGGGCCTATGGCTGGGTCACAGTCAACTACTTACTTGAAAATTTTGTTAAGGTAAGTTGTATTTGCCTGCCGTTACTGAAGTGAATTAGTAATGGAATGCATAATAGTTGTAGCAGATGTAGAGCAGCCTTTTGATTCAGAAACATGATGATGTTAAATTGTGCAGCTGCAAACACACCTATTAAGTAATATAGCTTTTTCACAACAGATCATATGATTGTATATCTCCCCCAAATATAGAGATAAGAATGTTTCTTATATTGAGCTTGGATCCTGAAAAGGTCGAAACCCTTTTTAAAACTTTAAAAACCTTAATCTTAATTTACTTTGGACGCTATTATGTAAAACAATAGCATTTCTAAGACCTTTTTCAAATTTTTGTTGGGAAGCCAAAAAGACAATTTCTTACCTAAACTGCCCTTAACCTTTATTGTAAAACTAATATCACTGATACAGCAAAACAAAAATAGAGGTGTGAAGGAGGAATTCCCAGGTTCCATAGAATATGTTCCTCAAATTTGACATCTGATTCTCTAAATGATCAAAAACCTTCCTGTTCATCTGCTCATGATCCAAACCTACTCTGGCTGGAGTCTAGTGATCTTGTGAGTTGCTGTACTCCACTGCACCCTGCACAATGTTGCATGATGTATGCTTGTATGATGTAAGCAAGAAATGGTGTTTACATTACACAATTGCTGGTGTGTTTCTCCTGGTATCCAAAATCAGCTGGTAGCAAAAACCGTCTTTCATTCCTAGAATGGCCAGAAGTCGTACTGCAGGGATAGGGTGCCACCATTTGTACAGCCAGTACTGGAAGTAAGCACTGGAAGCCAGTCCTGCAATTGAAGGGCATCCATCCATCCATCCATCCATCCATCCATCCAGCCAGCCAGCCAGCCAGCCAGCCAGCCAGCCAGCCAGCCAGCCAGCCAGCCAGCCAGCCAGCCAGCCAGCTAGCTTGCTTTTGTCTTCTGCTTAACCGGGGTAGCAGCTTCAGTAGCTTCAGCCGTCCCTCTCCCCAGACACTTGGGAGGGCTCATCCAGGGGAATCCCAAGGCGTTCACAGGCCAGCCTAGAAACATCTCCCTCTGGGTCTCCTGCTGGAGGGACATACATGTAACACCTCACCAGGGAGGCGTCAATGAGGCATCCTAGCCAGATGCCCGAGCCACTCTGTGGAGAAATACTGGCCAGATGACTGAGCTCCTCACCTTATCTCTAAGGGAGAGCCCAGAAACACTACGGAAAAAACTCATTTCAGCCACTTGTATGTGGGATCTTGTTCTTTCTGTCATGACCCAAAATTCATGATCATAGAAGAGGGTAGGAACGCAGATCGACCGGTAAATTAAGAGCTTTGCCTTTTAGCTCAAATCTCTCTACCATATATGGACCTGTAGAGTGCCTGCTTCACAGCAGATGCAGTACCAGTCCTTCTGTCGATATCCTCCTCCATCTTCCCCTCATTCATGAATAAACCCCCCCCAAAAAATACTCAAAACCAGGGTCTCAGATTTGGACGCACTGATCGTCATCCCGGCCGCTTCACACTTGACTGCGAAGAACTCCGGTGAGAGCTGTAGGTCACGCCTTGATGAAGTCAATAGAACCCTGTCATCCGAGAATAGCAGATATGCGATTCTAAGGCC